TAATGTTTTTTTTTTTTTAAAGAAGTCTCTTCTGCTCACCAAGCCTGCATTGATTTGATCCAAAATAGAGCAAAAGCAGTAATACTGTGAAATATTTTTACTATTTAAAATAACTGCTTTCTATTTGAATATATTTTAAAATGTAATATATTCCTGTGATTTCAAAGCTGAATTTTTATCATCATTACTCCAGTCACATGATTCTAATGTTCTGATTTGCTGCTAAAAAAAACATTATTATGTTGAAAACAGCCGAGTAGATTTTGATCAGGTTTCTTTGATGAATAGAAAGCTCAGAAGAACAGCATTTACCTGAAACAGAAATCTTTTGTAACATTATAAACGTCTTTTGATCAATTTAATGCTAAATAAAAGTATTAATTTCTATGAAAATTCAGCTTTGCATGGCAAGAATAAATTACATTTTAAAATATAGTCCAATAGAAAGCAGTTATTTTAAATAGTAAAAATATTTCACAATATTACTGCTTTTGCTGTATTTTGGATCAAATAAATGCAGGCTTGGTGAGCAGAAGAGAATTCTTTAAAAAACATTAAAAATCTTACTGTTCAAAAACTTTTGACTGGTAGTGTACAGACACAGACACAGACACACAGACACACACACACACACACACACACACACACACAGACAGACACACAGACACACACACACAGACAGACACAGACACACACACATATTACAGCATTTATTAATATTTTTAATTTGCAGTTTCATTTTTGTTTACATTAAATATGAACAATTTCTAATAGTTGTAGCATTATATAGTATTGTAACATTAACAACACTATATAACCAATTAATCCTGTATTATTTATATACTATTATAGTATTTATTAATATTTTAAATTATAATTTAAATTATATTATATAATATAACATTTTAGCAATTTTGTTATGTGCTTCTGTCATTTTTATTAGTTTTGTTTTTTTTATTTTCTATTTAGCTTTTTAATTTTTATTTCCAGTTTAGTTTTAGTAATTGTTGTATTTCAGTTAGTTTACACAAAGTTTTGTTAATGATTTGTAATAGTTGTAGGTAACAATAACAACACTATACTGTATATAGTTTAATGACAGCAGAAGTGCATTAAAATGTTACACAGTCAATCTGCCTCGACGATGTATTGACCCTAATCTAATCGATTCACACAAATGTGAGGCCCTATAACATGGTTAATGATTTAATCAAATGCAAAAGTCCACAGCTATGTGACAAATTGTTACATAATCAGCAGGCTCGTGGGAAACATGGCAGCTTAACTCAACTTAGCTCACAGCACATGGGAATTTCGCAAGGATAGACGGATGTGGCATTTAGATTTTAAGACATGCCATGAGCAAATACGTCCACCAGCAACTAATGGTCATCTGTCAAATTATAATAACGTTTACTCATGTAGAAATCAGGCAACTATCCAAACAAAGCAGTGCACACATACACGTCACAATTGCATTTCTCTTCAACGTCTTTGGCTTTCTGGAGAGCTCCAGGATATGAACTGCAAAACAGGATGAAGTCATGTGACAGGACTGTCTCTCTCTGTGTGTGTGTGTGTGTGTGTGTGTGCATGTAGAGAGGGAGTGTGTGCAAAAACAAAGTAAAATGCAAATAAAGGGTTTAGCTCGGTTTACATAGCATTCAGAGCTCTTACTCATAATCACGAGTTTGTGTCAGCCATGCGGATGAGGGCAGGACGCAGGGGAAATACCTCCATACTAAATGACCACAGGTCATATGAAACATGAAATATTTGCCTAATGAATTAATGGTTTAGGTTGTGGTTGGAACAATAGCTCCGAGTGATTATGAATGATTTGAATCAATGATATCTGGAAAGCAATATGCTCAGATCATATAAAATTGCAGAGAAGATAAAACAGGTCCCACGGCCCTGCAGAGGACACAATCACAAGGGCCCCAAAAGTGAAATAAAACTTAATGCGATTACTTGAAGGAACTCTTTGGTTGAACCTTATTACAATATACATATAGCCACAAAATATTTGGACACTTAAAGCAACTGTAGGCTAAGTTGTTTACCTTAAAATATCAAGTAAGTTTCAGAATCATTCTGATGGTGCACTGACTTCTATAAAAGCCGAATGGTTTCTGTTTTTTCCCCCCACGTTCCTCCCCAAATGTCTATTCAACATGTAATAATAGTGAGCGGGTACGAAATCCCGCGAAAAGGGCGGATCGCTTTACGGCAGTAACAAATGCGCGTTTTCAGCCGAATTCGCTTTCACGGAAAATGTGTTCACTCGGCAACCATATTTGAATTCACAAGTACAGTGAGACACCGTCTTATATCTAACGATTTTGGTACAGTGATCCAATGTAATTATGACAGTAATATATTTAAGACAGTGAGTTTCATCACTCGCTTAACTGTAGAGGCTGCAACGTACATAAAACTACACACAGTTGCTTTAAGTGACACTTGAAGTCATTGCATTCTGTATTAGTAATACAAAATGTTTTGTTTTCATTTTTCGACACATTTGTCAAACGTTCTGCTTAAGAAGTGAGCTTGCATCATAGGCTATTTTGTTATCTAATTTAGCGACATTCTGACAATTTGTTATTTGCAATGACATTCTGCGACCTAAATCATCATTTCAAAAGAAAAAACAAGTTTAAGGGCCAGCGTTTTGACACAAAACATTCATGTGGATTTTGTGATTCGAGTTATGTGCGAATACCAAAATATATGGGCATGGCATGTTTACACCTGCAATAAAGCCATAGAGGAATTGCAACACTCAAGGACAAATAAACTTCCCAAGCTTTGCTACAATTACACACGAAAATCACCTGAGAGATAAAGTCTGACAGCCATATGTCAACTTCAGATAAGAAAGCATACAGTTTACACGTGTTTTTTTGCTCTGTGTTAGAGGAAATCATACATACCTATTATAAATAAAGTATTTTATTTACACCCACTTTCAATAAATCAAAATTTTTTTTAAACAAGCCTGTCAGGTAAAGTTAAATCATTAATTTGTTACGATGAAACTGCAAACCCATATACACTCAGATATGCTCAAGAACATATGTGCAATGACCCACTTCATCTACTTCTCAGAATAAATTTCCATTTAATACTTCACTATATTGTCTACAGAATGGATTTGGACGCAAAATAGACATGCACTTTATACATAGAAGTATGTGGTGGGATCAGTGGTGTTGGTAGGTTTTACCATTTAATACTTATGCATACCACCATCATATACCATGGTGTTTAAAAGGTGTCCACAAACATGGCAAAACCATGGTACTCAAGGAGATGAAGGGCATATATAATACAATTTAGACTAAGTATTGTTCTAGAAGAGTTTTAGCAGACATTGTCTATCACTTCAGACCTCATGCATAATTTAAAACATGTCAGCACTTTTCAATTTGTTAAGACAAACCGAACGAACATAAAACTGGCGTTTTATACGTAATTTTTTACGTATTTTAATTGAATACGTAATAAATTAAAATGTCATTCAAATAAATAAATTAAATAAAGAAACAGAACATACCAGACCTGTGATGCGATGTTGCTCAGGTGTGTATCGTGTCACCTGTAAACTAGGTGTTTTATAAACTAGTGTTCATCCAGCAGCGGGCAGTAGAGAATCAAGCCTCAGAATACCGTAATATCCTCAAATCGTCTCTCAAATTGGTCTTGGCTCCACCTCTGTCCCGCCAATTTGAAAACAGAACAGCGTTTATGAAATAAAAATGTTCTTTACCTTGTAAAAAATGTTTTACAATTCCAAAGAATTAATAACAGTAAAGGTACATCGATAAAGATATACACATAAATACACAATAAAATAAACAAACAAACGGTTAGGTTATATAATTTTAACTTGACGTTATTTATTTTATATTAGAAACGCATTACTATTATTATTATAAATTATTATTATATTTAAATGTTAATTACTTGATTATATATTAGAATTTTTAAATATATATATATATATATATTTATTCTACACGTATGCTTCAGTCGTTACGGTAACCGGATCTTCGCGCCGTTGCCATGGGAGACGCGGAAGCGCTCGAGCACTGCTGTGGCTCGCGATCAGCTCAAGTCAGAAACTCTCCGTTACAATCACGGGAAATACGGATGATTTCATTAGAATTTTTATATATATATATATATATATTTATTCTACACGTATGCTTCAGTCGTTACGGTAACCGGATCTTCGCGCCGTTGCCATGGGAGACGCGGAAGCGCTCGAGCACTGCTGTGGCTCGCGATCAGCTCAAGTCAGAAACTCTCCGTTACAATCACGGGAAATACGGATGATTTCATGATTCACGCGGAATTAAGGGAGGCGAAGTCTGGGTTTCGACTTGCACAGGTTTAAAGGTGTGTAAACGTTTAAAGATGTGTGTGTTTGGTTAGCAGTTAGCCTTTTTAGCTGGTTAAATCTCTTGTTCATCAGCTGTTTATGACTTTGGTTTGAAGTAGTTTTGCTTTTAGAAGTGTTGAATGCATTTTATATGTTGTTGTAGAATTTAATTGCACTTAATCTGTTGATATTATTAATTTGCCCCAAATCAGATACAGAAACATTCAACACGATAGATAATCACGAGAGATTTCAGAGTTCACACAGGACCTCAGTGAACTCATCCAGAGAACCAACCGCTAATCTCGTGCCTTCTGTCATTATGGTCATTATACACACTCTTATTAATTCATTAGGACCGACGCTGCATACCGTCGATATTTCATGGTGAACGTCAGGAGTGTTGAGAGAAGCTGGTTAAGCTCTTTGTTTAGGCTGTTTGGAGTTTTGAATCAGACGGAGATTAGAGATGCCCAGAGCGTCTCACCTCCTCCTGCACTCAGTGAAATTAACCCGTAATCCCCTCAGTGACCTGCTGCTCTTGCTGTGCAACACCCTGGAGAACACGCGCTGAAGGACTCGGTCCACACACGAGGCCAGTGTGACAGCGGTCCAGCTCCGCTTACTCCACAGGTGAGTAGACAAACATTCAGCAGATAGACAGCCAAATAGATAGATAGATAGATAGATAACAGATAGACATTCAACATTATAGATAGATAGATACTGTAGATAGATAACAGATAGACATTCAACATTATAGATAGATAGATACTGTAGATAGATAACAGATAGACATTCAACATTATAGATAGATAGATACTGTAGATAGATAACAGATAGACATTCAACATTATAGATAGATAGATACTGTAGATAGATAACAGATAGACATTCAACATTATAGATAGATAGATACTGTAGATAGATAACAGATAGACATTCAACATTATAGATAGATAGATACTGTAGATAGATAACAGATAGACATTCAACATTATAGATAGATAGATACTGTAGATAGATAACAGATAGACATTCAACATTATAGATAGATAGATACTGTAGATAGATAACAGATAGACATTCAACATTATAGATAGATAGATACTGTAGATAGATAACAGATAGACATTCAACATTATAGATAGATAGATACTGTAGATAGATAACAGATAGACATTCAACATTATAGATAGATAGATACTGTAGATAGATAACAGATAGACATTCAACATTATAGATAGATAGACATTCAACATGCTTACTATATTTTAGATAAGATATCCAGAAGATAGACAGACATTAAATAGATAGATAAATAGACAGATGGATAGATAGATAGACAGGCAGACGTAAACATACAGACATTTAAACAGATAGACATTCAACATGATAAATATATTTTATCTATAGATAGATAGATAAATATTCAACGTGATAGGTATATTTTAGATAGCTAGATACTTAGACATTTAACAGATATAGACATTCAACATGATTGCTATATTTTAGATAAGATATCCAGAAGATAGATAGACATTAAATAGATAGATAGACAGGTAGATAGATAGACAGACATTCAGCAGATAGACATTCAATCTATCTATTTTATATTTCTATTTTCTATCTAGAACAGACAGTAGAAATAGATAGACAGCCAACAGATAGATAGAAAGATAGATAGATATTTAACAGATAGATCATTTAACAGACATTCAACATATATGTGTGTATTTTATCTATCTATTTTATATTTCTATTTTCTATCTAGAACATAGACAGTAGAAATAGATAGACATTCAACAGATAGATAGATATTTAAACAGATAGACATTCAACATGATAAATAAATTTTAGATAGATATAGGGCTGTCGCGATAACCGCAATATCGCAATACCGCGGCTACTGACGAGCAAACCGCAGAGGAATGCAAGAACCGCAGCAACCGCGACTTGCGTGTTTTCTTTTTTCGTAAGGTATGCTCTTCTCGTTTGTGTGTACCATGCTGATTTGTACAGAGGCTCCGTAGATTTGCACTTAACAAGCCTAAACAGACAGTGAATGAGAGCGAGATCGACTGAGCGCGTGCGATTACTTGCGTCTGTCCTCCAGGCCGAGTCATATATATTTGTGAAAATAGGTTGTCATGTCCAAGGAAAGCGAAATCTCTGTCTTAGCATCGACACATAGCTGGTCAGCTGAGCCTTCTAAAGTGGCGCTCAAAGTTAAAATGATTTCAACAGCGTGTTTCATTACGTCTCTTTGAATGAATGAATCAGCGTTTTTGAACGTGTAGTTGAATGACAGTCACCACCTTGTGGCGCAACACTGTAACTGCACTGAATGACAGCCCGTCTAGAACGCGTGCGTGCAGGTGGAAATATCAATAGAAAGTCTCTTGTCCAGTCAGATTAGAAAATCAGATTACAACTAGGCTAACTGTTATACATATAGGCTAACGATAGCCTAACGATCTTATTGTCAGGTTTATGTTCTGTTATGTGGACCGTTATTTTGTCATTCTCTTCTGTTTACTTCACTTCCTGTTTCAACGCTATTTGGTTTCGGTTTCATTGTCTTCTGAATATGACCTCGTTAGTTATATCGTAACACATATACACACAAATTATATATATAATATATATAATGGCGATAATACCGCATACCGCGCTATTGAGCCACTCAAAATTACCGCAAGGGAAATTCCCTCACCGCGACAGCCCTAGATAGATAGACATTCATCATGATAGCTATATATTTTAGATAAATACAGGCATTCAGCAGATGGATAGACAGACAGACATTCAGCAGATAGACAGATAGACATTTGATACATAGATATCTTGCTAACTAGAAGAGTTTTTTTCTGATGTGATTTTATCTTCTCCACAATCCATTCAGGAGGAACATCTCAACACGCTCCGATGAGGATTTCAGCTCTTCAGGAACATTAATATTCACCTGAGCATCTGAATGTTTACTCATCACCGTATCCAGCATGGCTGACGCCCGGATTAAACGGCTAGTGGAACAACTCCAGGAATGATCCTCGCTGTGCTTTGGTTTGTCATGGAGTAGCAGGAAGTGAGATGGAATTTCCTCTATATAATCAGGGCGAGATGATCTCCACGTCAGACGTCTGCTGAATAGTTTCATATGGCGGAGGGCTGTGGTGGTGTTTTCTAGTATATTCCGGATCGCTGCAGATATGCTCCAGACCAATAACTACTCGCTGGTGCTGCTGATCCAGCTGGCACTGCTGACCTTTGACCTGTTCGTCAACTCCTTCAGTGAACTGCTGCGGGCCGCGCCGGTCATACAGCTCGTGCTCTTCATGTGAGTGCATTACAGATTTCACCACAAGTCACATTATTTATAGCATCAGTCTGATTTGCTCAATATTAAAAGCAGAAAATATTTAGAAAATAAGCATATACAGGTGCATCTCAATAAATTAGAATGTCGTGGAAAAGTTCATTTATTTCAGTAATTCAACTCAAATTGTGAAACTCGTGTATTAAATAAATTCAATGCACACAGACTGAAGTAGTTTAAGTCTTTTGTTCTTTTAATTGTGATGATTTTAGCTCACATTTAACAAAAACCCACCAACTCACTATCTCAACAAATTAGAATACTCCATAAGACCAATAAAAAAAAACATTTTTAATGAATTGTTGGCCTTCTGGAAAGTATGTTAATTTACTGTACATGTACTCAATACTTGGTAGGGGCTCCTTTTGCTTTAATTACTGCCTCAATTCAGCGTGGCATGGAGGTGATCAGTTTGTGGCACTACTGAGGTGGTATGGAAGCCCAGGTTTCTTTGACAGTGGCCTTCAGCTCATCTGCATTTTTTGGTCTCTTGTTCCTCATTTTCCTCTTGACAATACCCCAGAGATTCTCTATGGGGTTCAGGTCTGGTGAGTTTGCTGGCCAGTCAAGCACACCAACACCATGGTCATTTAACCAACTTTTGGTGCTTTTGGCAGTGTGGGCAGGTGCCAAATCCTGCTGGAAAATGAAATCAGCATCTTCAAAAAGCTGGTCAGCAGAAGGAAGCATGAAGTGCTCCAAAATTTCTTGGTAAACGGGTGCAGTGACGTTGGTTTTCAAAAAACACAATGGACCAACACCAGCAGATGACATTGCACCCCAAATCATCACAGACTCTGGAAACTTAACACTGGACTTCAAGCAACTTGGGCTATGAGCTTCTCCACCCTTCCTCCAGACTCTAAGACCTTGGTTTCCAAATGAAATACAAAACTTGCTCTCATCTGAAAAGAGGACTTTGGACCACTGGGCAACAGTCCAGTTCTTCTTCTCCTTAGCCCAGGTAAGACGCCTCTGACGTTGTCTGTGGTTCAGGAGTGGCTTAACAAGAGGAATACGACAACTGCACTGTAAAAAGTAATCACTGAATCTACTTAAGAAA